AATAAACGCTGTTATTCATAAAATACTTTAAATAAGATCATGAAACTTTGCATACTAACTGAACTAACTATAAAGCTTATGTTTTTTATTTTTTTTAAATTACCATTATTTTCACTGTAAAAAGAAATTACCTAAACTATCGGCGTCTTGAAGCTTGAAACCGGGCGGCAGGAAAAAAAGCCTGTAAAATTTTTAATTATTTTATTTAGTATTTATTTATTATTTTAGATTTTAGAGCTACTGAGCCGTTTAGCAGCACACTTTAAACCATCGACAACTGCTAGTTCATTTCATCCCAGTAGCTACTCCAGCGCTATTGTGGAGAGTTTTTGAACTGTTTTTTACTGTTTACAGATGGCCACTTTTTCAACTATTCTACTATGGGAGTTGGTACTCCTTACTTCTACACTCCATACTCGGAAGCAACGGCATGACTATGGAGTGTAGAAGTAAGGAGTACAGACTGTGTATTAAAAAGTGTCCATAGAAAACCGTTAAATAAGGGTGGCGCCACTATAGCTACGGGCTAAATTTTAAAGAACGTGCCGAAAAATATTAGTGGAATAGACGACTTTTTCGAGGTTATATTTACTAAATAAAATTATTTTAGATTTTAGAGCTACTGAGCAGTTTAGCAGCACACTTAAACCGTCGACAACTGCTAAATTCATTTCATCCCAGTAGCTACTCCAACGTTGTTGTGGAGAGTTTTTGAACTATTATTTACTGCTTACAGATGGTCACTTTTTCAACTATTCTACTATGGGAGTTGGCGCTCCTTACTTCTACACTCCATAGGCATGACGAAAAGCTGTCAACAAAGGAGTTTTGGCTGGAACTTGGCCGTAGACGGATTGTCGCTCCTGTTTTGTCGGTTGAATAATGATTTAAAGTGGATTTTGATTCGTAAAAGTGATGCGATTTTGTGAATTAAGTGTCCGCGCATGTGAACTATTAGAGAAAACGACGAAACAAGTGCTTTGATGTCGATAAAAACCTCAAGTTATTTTGATCGCTTGGGCGCCTTATGAACTTGAGTGGCTGTCATCAACTAGCCGCTGGGTTGAGCTGTCGTCAAAATCTCCCAAGGGCTTTGCAATGTGACTCAGCAGCATATTATGAAGAAAAAGAACATAAAATGAAGATTCCTAAAGAAAGAATAGGCTCAAAAGGTCTAGAAACCAGAGCCGTAAAGCCAGTTAATAAAGAAAGAAAAAGCTGTCAACAAAATGGCCGGCCTAGCGATTAATTTTACACATTTTTAAATCAATTCAAACCGAAATTGATAAAAAATCGAAATCTTAAATATCGATTTCGCAAAAATCGATCTTTTTTTGATTGGCGTTAAAAGTTTATATTTACAATATCAAAAGTTATAATAAAGTACAAATAACATTGAATGATTGAATTTAAAACTGTCATTCTTTACGAGTTGGGGTACCTATATTCAACTAATTGTAAATAATTTTACAAATCTTAATAAACCAGAAAAAGATACGATCTCGATTCTATAGGATGAAATATCGATTCACTAGATCAATTCAGTAATATATATCGATATGACATTGACAGAATAAAAGAAACGTCAAAAACGTGAGAATATTTAATTAAGGCCGAATACGAAGAGAACTGGCGAAAATTAATGTATTTCTCTTGACTAGAACTTTGACCTGAAGTAATTCTAAGCTTTAAAATATTTTTGTAGGTTTGTTCGGGTCCTTCACAAGGTCACCGTCATTTTAAAATTTTAAAATAAATGAATATACCAACAAATAAAAAAATGTTAAGAAATGATATATAAAATTATTGTTCTTCCAAAACTCTGTGAATTTTAATTTAGGGAAAATTCTTTTACGTAAAAATGTTTGTATTGTGATTCCGAAGGTACCTGCTATCTTTATTTTCGATACAAAATATTATTTATTAACATAATTCGTTTTAATTAAAAACACCTAATAATAATATCGTATATTGCCAGATAAAAGTTTGCCGTAATAAATTACCAGGCGCTTCGACGTGTGCCGTAAGATAACAACAGTCGATGTGTCTGTAGCGAAAATCGTTAATTTATTGTTTTATACTCATATAAGTGTCTATAAATGTAAATATGGGTAGGAAAAGAAATAAATGTTACCTAAGTGGTAAAACAAAGAGTTTATCGCATGCACGCTGCTCGAATGTTGTATTTTGAGGTTAATACTTATATTTTTGTAAGGTAATTTTTTGTTTCAGGCTGCCTAATAGGTTGCATTTTTACTCATTTACATTAGCCAAACTAATCATTTATACTTTTCTAGTTTCAAGTGAGAAACACTAAAAATGTAAAATATCAAGACCCAGTCGGAAAAGAATGTACAGATTAGTGCAAGCACAGAGACCGCAAATAATGTCAGTCAATGTATTGTCCGAAAGCATGGGGTAAAAGTACATAATTAAGAAAAACCGAAATACTTCGGATGTGAAGTGATTGACCAGTCGAAGTAGTCTTGTGAGAATTTACATACACAGTACCTTTCCCCACTATGGGGCAATCACCGACTTTTTAGTTTTTTTCTTTATTATTTATGCAATTTGCATTACAGCATCTTGTAAGACTCACAAAAACAAACATTTAAGTTATATGAGGTTCTTAACGTACGATGCACCAATTAAGAAAAAAAATCGTTATCAATTCAATAACTTTTCGAACAATATTTTATAACGAATAAAGTACAGAATTTATAATCTATAGGAACTAATATTATAAATAAGAAAAATTTATTTAAGGAGTAAGCAATGCTCTCTGTGTTGTTCATTACTCTGCATCTGAGCTAGCTCCGTCAAATATAATCAAAGCCCGTACGGCTTTGATTATAGGCAGCGTTGCGATCGATACGGCAATTGCCGTAATATACGGCATTCCACGATTTTTTTAAAGATTATACGACATACGGCAGGCTTTTCATTGCCGTATATAGTATTACGGCAATTCAGCTTTGCGATAAACCACGATGGCAAATTATGAACAAAAAATATAAATACCTGTATTGATATCCATATTTTTTTCACTTTCGTCATCCCTTAAGTGATAATAAAGAGTGTGGTTGTCTATGACGGGAAATTACCGTTCCATCTTTTATTTTATGAGACTAACAAAGATGGCATGAACATGACACATGGTAGACAGTGATAGAAGTAATGAATGTAAGAGATACACATATTTACTTTGTTTATGTTATTGAATAAATGTACAACATTATGAACTATAAGATGTGTACGGTACTTTTGTAGTATTTACTCTGGCAGTAAATTAAACTTGGATCCAATTTGGCTTTGTTGGAATGGCTGCACTTTCTACAAAAAGCTTAAACTCTTACTTCAAAACACGCGAAAAGTACAAAGACGTCATAGGTGTTTTCAGTCATTGTCACCACTGGCCCAGCAATTGCCACGAGTTGTGAGAGAATCAGATAAGCAACGAATTGATGACGAGTGGAGGTTGCTACCAAATGTAAACAAAATTTCAGAATTTGAAATAAAAACATGAATTTTGGGCAAATGTCCAAGATACCACAGACTGCAAAATATTAGCAAATTTTGCTTTAGACGTATTATGCCTATCTACAACATAGCAATGCAGATTGCGAAAGAGTTTTCAGTGAAGTAATCAATATGAAAACAAAATCCAGAAATAAATTGTAACATCCACTGTCAGTGGAGCTCTATTAGCAAGACAAGCGGTTAAAAATCAAGGAGGTTGTACGAAATTTCAAATGTCAAATGATATGTGTAAGAAAATGAAAAGCAAAGAAAAATAATGATTTCTTATATTTAGGCGAACATTGCACATGATTAAAACTACTTTTACGGATTTTATCGCGTTTAATTTTACTTTTTATTTTTAATTCCCGACGTTTCGGGCGCTTTCCAGCACCCATGGTCACGGGGGACTGAGATGACTGACGTCCCGATGTCATTGTTAAACCCGGAGTACCTTCAGCTTTTTTAATTATTGTTTATGGTCCGATCTATGCAAAATGAACTGACTATGTCCTGAGGTCTTGCAGTGATATGCTTGCGTTTAGTTTTAATTTTATTGATTATAGGATCCCAAGCAGGTGGTAGTACCCAGCCTCCTTCTCTATTGAAATTAGGATGTTTTTAATTTCAATAGCCTCACGTATCATCCTTGGTAGGAATCGGTGTTCTTTCGCGAGGATTTGTGGTCTATCAAATCTGATGTAATGGTTGGGGCCGTCTAGGTTATGATCACAAATATATATATATATATATATATATATATATATATATATATATATATATATATATATAATTCATATTGTATTATGTTCCTAATTCATTCTATAATATGTTTACTTATTCTATAATCTATAAAGACAAAACCAGTATATTCAAAGGGGTTGGGTTTACAATTCCGTCGCCTGAATTTGAAGGTTCTGTAACTGTGGGGGGAGTCAATGAGGTTTATCTGAATCCCCCCACGCAATTTTTGCTGCCGGAGGAGAGGAGCGTCGAAGTATTTTTAATTTTTAACTATTAGAGAAAACGACGAAACAAGTGCTTTGATGTCGACATAAACCTCAAGTTATTTTGATCGCTTGGGCGCCTTATGAACTTGAGTGGCTGTCATCAACTAGCCGCTGGGTTGAGCTGTCGTCAAAATCTCCCAAGGGCTTTGCAATGTGACTCAGCAGCATATTATGAAGAAAAAGAACATAAAATGAAGATTCCTAAAGAAAGAATAGGCTCAAAAGGTCTAGAAACCAGAGCCGTAAAGCCAGTTAATAAAGAAAGAAAAAGCTGTCAACAAAATGGCCGGCCTAGCGATTAATTTTACACATTTTTAAATCGATTCAAATCGAAATTGACAAAAAATCGAAATCTTAAATATCGATTTCGCAAAAATCGATCTTTTTTTGATTGGCGTTAAAAGTTTATATTTACAATATCAAAAGTTATAATAAAGTACAAATAACATTGAATGATTGAATTTAAAACTATCATTCTTTACGAGTTGGGGTACCTATATTCAACTAATTGTAAATAATTTTACAAATCTTAATAAACCAGAAAACGATACGATCTCGATTCTATAGGATGAAATATCGATTCACTAGATCAATTCAGTAATATATATCGATATGACATTGACAGAATAAAAGAAACGTCAAAACGTGAGAATATTTAATTAAGGCCGAATACGAATAGAACTGGCGAAAATTAATGTATTTCTTTTGACTAGAACTTTGATCTGAAGTAATTCTAAGCTTTAAAACATTTTTGTAGGTTTGTTCGGGTCCTTCACAAGGTCACCGTCATTTTAAAATTTTAAAATAAATGAATATACCAACAAATAAAAAAATGTTAAGAAATGATATATAAAATTATTGTTCTTCCAAAACTCTGTGAATTTTAATTTAGGGAAAATTCTTTTTACGTAAAAATGTTTGTATTGTGATTCCGAAGGTACCTGCTATCTTTATTTTCGATACAAAATATTATTTATTAACATAATTCGTTTTAATTAAAAACACCTAATAATAATATCGTATATTGCCAGATAAAAGTTTGCCGTAATAAATTACCAGGCGCTTCGACGTGTGACGTAAGACAACAACAGTCGATGTGTCTGTAGCGAAAATCGTTAATTTATTGTTTTATACTCATATAAGTGTCTATAAATGTAAATATGGGTAGGAAAAGAAATAAATGTTACCTAAGTGGTAAAACAAAGAGTTTATCGCATGCACGCTGCTCGAATGTTGTATTTTGAGGTTAATACTTATATTTTTGTAAGGTAATTTTTTGTTTGAGGCTGCCTAATAGGTTGCATTTTTACTCATTTACATTAGCCAAACTGATCATTTATACTTTTCTAGTTTCAAGTGAGAAACACTAAAAATGTAAAATATCAAGACCCAGTCGGAAAAGAATGTACAGAGTAGTGTAAAAATAGTCCAACAATAAATCTGTGTAAAATATACTTACATCCTTGCTTGGGAGGGCTGATTGTCGTGTCCTCCGCGTCCTCTTCGGCCTCCCCGGTGTCTCCGACTGTTAGGGCGTTCTCCACCATAATGGTTGCCACGGTCGCCACGACTACCATGGCCTCTATGGCTCCCGTCATTAGACGGCAGATCATTTTCACTAGGTGATCTATAATATAATATAATTATTTAAAACTTGACTACATATCTAATATAAGATGAGAAAAACAAAATGTACGAAAGTAGTTTTTAGTAACAAAATTACTAAAAATAGAAAATACCTCCTAACTTGAGATGGTCCCCTCCCACCTCTAGTACGAACCCCTCGGCCTCTACGACTTCCACGAGCTAAGTTAGTTTCGGTCGGTGATCTAAAATTGTTGTATGTATTAATTTAAACCATTAATATCATCAGGGAAAAAAACAATAATAATGTGGTAAAGAAGCATTAAAAATTACCCGCGTCAACTTAGAAGAGAGTTATTTTAAATGAGTAGGTATCCAATCCCTAATAACATGTATTATAAATGCGAAAGTCTGTATGTTTGTTAGTATATATGTCCCGTTTTCACGTCAAAACGGCTGAACTGATTTTGATGACTTTTGGTACAGTGATAGATGGGACCCTATAACGGTTATAGGCTATATAGCACAATATTAAGTAAATGATGGAAAGTACGGTGCAATCTCTGGGGTCGCTTTTTAATAGAAGCTATTTTTTATGGCAGTAAGGACCCTTTTTTATTATATGATTACATAACAAAAGCCATTTTTATTTAGGATTTTTTTCTCGAAAGTTATGAGGTTCTTCAATGTAATTTCTTTTGAAAAGCGTTCTACATGAAGAGATCTACATAATAAATAATACGACAGCTTCTAAACTGGCGCCAGACATTGAGCAGTGGTGCAAAGCGAAAACCGTATACCGAAAAATGAATGATTTTGATTAAATATGAGAATTAAATTATTGTCAATACATCACAAGGAAAGTAAAGTGATTTGAAATCGTAGAACACATCCTCCATGTAAGTAAAGTGAAGTTAAATAGAAAAGAGAGCAAAAGTCGACAATCACGAACAAACATAACATTAATATAACACAAGAACAAAAACTATGAGATAAGAGCATGATGAAACACAATTACACAACCAACTAAGCGAAAAAAAAAACTCAAGACCCAAACCAACCAAGACCTCGACCACAAAAAATAAGAAAGCGAAACATATTGCAAGCATACTTTGCTATTTGTACCGACCCTTATTTAGAGCCATTGTAGTTACGTCCGTGGATATCAAACTATCCACAACAAAAGACCTGAGGAACACAATAACATTTCTAAGGAATCTTCAGTGAATATAGTTTAATTCTGTTTGCAAAGTGCATTATTATGTTTATTACAACTATTACTCGTTGCTTAAATATAATTTTACTGAAAAACTAAGTTAACAAAACTGAAATTGGGCCGACAACTTGAGCGGCCATTTTTTCGAAACAGCTATACTTTGAATTTAAAATATGACTCGATTTTACACTTAGAACTGCGATATATATACGTAATTATAAAGCACAAATCATCTAGTTTATTTTGACGTATAATAATCTACGAAATATTAAATTAAACTAAAGTACTTACGACATAATCGCTGGCACTCCAAAAACACTTGTTCACAAAACACAGAACACCGATACTGAAGTAAGATATTTATGGTTCATTCGTCAAGACTTGTTATACTGCCATCTCGTATTTGATACGTAAAGTAATTCGTCAGCTATTGATTCCATAAATAAAACTCACAAAACGTACTGCAGATTGTCCCTAGATGTCAGTTTTATAAAACTTAACGCTTTGGCTACACTAGTATCCAGGACGTACAAGGCAATTTTTATTTTGGATGGCATAGTATCCATGGACGTGTCAGTGGTTAAAGAATAAGTAAACATATTATAGAATGAATTAGGAACATAATACAATATGAATTATATATATATATATATATATATATATATATATATATATATATATATATATATATACAACATGTAACATAATTGACGCACTTTGAGAAAGTAGCGAATCGATTCCTATAATTTTTAATATACTTAGGTAATTTTTTATCCCAAAAATAAAACAACGTAATTTACAGTAACACTAAATCTGTACAGTCAAAACAAACTGAAATGGACCGTCACTTAAGGCATTAAGACTTTTATTTGTATTATTACTAATTCTGTCATTCAATAAAAATAAAGAAAAATTAACTTTATTTCAAGCACGTTAAATTCTTTGCGTTCGGGGATTTGTACTGTGACCACAACATTCTTCTGGAATTAGTATAACTAATTTGATAAATAATCAGTGCATAAAAATGTTTAACTAAAAATTCAGTGTATTAATTATGATTATAACATAATATACTAATTGGGGTGTATGAGGGAGTACGTTAATTATGTTACATATTGTATATATATAATATAGTTTCTTTATAAAATAAATAATATATTATTATAAGTAATTAATTAAGTTATCTAACTAGTAGTAATTTTACCATGATTAATTCATTAATCTAACTAGAATATTATTACACACAATTTATATGGACTATCAGGCTTAAAAGGATAATAATGCATTTAATGAACGCGGCTGACAGAAGAATGATGCTTTGATGATCAACCATTAAGTCTAGTTTTCATAAATATTAAGCTTGCAATGTGTTGTCACCCCTCTTTTATACCTTTTTTAAAAAAAATTATTATATAATATTATACAGTGAAAATATACTTTTTGTAAGTCATCACAGATACTGGTACTGTTTTTTGTTATCATATATAAATAATTTCAAAGTTAATCCTATTATTTTCTTTTAGATACATCATCAAATAAATCAGCAGTTATGAGAAGAAAACCCATGAAATCAATTTTGAACCTGGCAAAATTGTCAACACCTACAGGTACTGATATTTTTCAACAAGTCTGCTATATATACTTATAATCATAATACTATCATCATTACAGGACATCACAAATTCACTGCTGAACATAGTATGTGACCTTTTCAAGTGGACTAATATTTTAATACTTCCATCATTGTTTATTTATGAGAACATCACAATATACATATGGAAAAATGTAAATTTATTACTAAAAAAAGAAAGAAGTATCCTGTAGAAAGGGTTGAGATGATACCATAGAAGTTCTTAAATTTGGATTGACTTAAAAAGTCCATAAAATTTAACAGTAATATCTCTATAAATATAATGCAATAATTGAACATAGGATTTATAAAACTTTGAAGGAAATTTTGTTAAATAACTAATAAAAATGTAGTAAACCCAAAACAGAAAAAAGAGCTGATGATCTTCAAATGGCTGACAGATTTTCTTGAATCATAACTTAGAACACTCTTGATCTAGTCACCTTACAACATAAAAAAGCTAAATAATAGCCCATCTATGCGGCCACTATGATGCTTCAGACAGACGCACATATACATATGTTCAATTTATAACACTCCTATGTTTGCCTTGGGGGTTATAAAGCCTAAAATAGATGGATATATTGAGGAAAGTTTGTGGGAATAGCTCTTACTCTACACGAACAAGTTCCCTGGCTACTAATATATTGTTAAAGATCTATTAGTAGCCAGGAATGTATGACATTTTATAATGTATTGATTTTAAGTTGTACATTTGTAAACCGCTGTAGATTTTTATGTTCATAAGAGATTTTAACAAGCCAACAGTTTGATTTGGCTTTAAAAATATGTTTTCTTAATCAAACCTTGCTCCTGTCAATAACAGGAGATGTGTTGTTCTGCCTATGACGTTAATTAGACTACTCTTTTTCAGCTTTTTCTAAACTTGACTCTATTAAGAATGTTAGGATGTGATTAAATGCAGGATGTTTTAATGTATTGTTAATGAGGAAAATTAACAAATTATTTTTTTATAGTTTTTGCCAGTGGGAGTTGTAGTGTAGCCCCCTCGACAGTATATACCCCCTTGACACCAATATATATATATATATATATATATATATATATATATATATATATATAATTATTATTTGGAGTATCTATATAGTTTTCTCATCTGGTTGGGTTCTATAAATATATAATTATAAATGAAAATGAAAAGATAAATATACATAAATATCAATAACATAAAATAAATATAAAAGTACATAAATAAATAAAAGCCCAACCAGATGGAGGCCCTCGGCAGGGGAGACCAAACGGCCGAGGGTTAGGGGGAAAGGGAAAGAAACTGGCGGACGATGCGGGCGGTATCGAGGAGCACCGCCTTCTGCATTTGAACCTGGAGCGGTCCGCCACGTAGTCCCAGCCGCCTCAGATGACCCGAGAGGCTGACTGGGATTAGCCCGTTTGCAGAGACGACTACAGGAACAATTTCGGTCGGCAGACCACCCCACATGTCGGTCACCTCGTGAGCCAGGTCCAGATATTTTGTTTGCTTGTCTGTTTCGGCTTTCACGAGGTTCTCGTCATACGGAATGGTAATGTCGACCAAAAATATCCTTGACTGTGCCCGGTCCATCAGCACAATATCAGGCTTACTCGCAAGAATAGTCCTGTCTGTGATGATGGCCCGGTCCCAATAGAGCCTGGCGCGATCATTTTCGAGCACGGCTTCCGGCAAGTACTTGTAATACGGCAATTTCCGATCCACGAGACCGTATTTCTGAGCGAGCTCCTGGTGTAGAATTCTGGCTACTAAGTTGTGCCTGTGCAAGTACTCAGAGTTAGAAAGCGCCGAACAACCGGAGATAACATGCCTAAGTGACTCACCAGGATGGCGACAAGCTCGACAGATGTCGACGGTGCCATCCTTTAGGATGTATCTCCGATAGTTGTTGGTCTTAATAACCTGATCCTGTATTGCACAGACAAAACCCTCGGTTTCCCCGAAGAGATCACCAAAGCGTAGCCAGTGGAGGGAGGCTACTGTGTCTACGAAAGGCTCATGTAGAGCCTTGTAGAACCTCCCGTGGAGCTCCTTCTCTTCCATACGGTCTCCCGGTCGGAAATGCTCTGCACTGCCGGGTCTTGCCATTGCTCGTTGGCTAAGGATAGAGGGGTAAGTCCTTTATCACAAGAAATGACGTCCTTATAGAATGGATCATCCGATCTCGCCAGGAAGTAATCACGGAGGCTGCACACTTCGCGATTATGCATGGTGAGCGCGCTCAAGAAGCCACGACCACCATGCTTCCGCGGCAAGTACAGCCTCATTACCGACGATCTCGGATGATGCATCCTATGGGACGTCATGGTAGTGCGGACTTTTCTATCCAGGGCGTTAAGTTCAGTCTGAGTCCACCTGAGTATGCCAAAGGTATACATGAGGACAGGCATGACCCAGCCGTTATATGCGTGTGCCTTATTCACACCGGACAAAAGGCTGTTAAGCACTTTGGTCAAGCGTGCATAAAACACGTCGCAAACTGACTGTTTCGTACCAGTCACATCGATACCGATGTTTTGTGACATACCCAGGTAGCGGTATGTTTCAGCCTCAGAAAGGGTCCTTAAGTTGACGGGCATAGATAAGTCTACGCCCTCAGAGTTAGCAACCCTTCCCCTTTCAACATGGAGGCCCGCACACTTATCCGTCCCAAGCTCCATTCCAATGGAATTGCTAAATTCACAAGTGATGTTTAGCAATTCCCTAAGATGGGAGCGACTGGAGGCGAATAACTTGAGGTCATCCATATAGAAAAGGTGGGTCACTTTTGTCCCTCCTTTCCGTAGCTGAAATCCCCTCCCGGAGCCCTCCAGTAAGGTACTGAGAGGGTTCAGAGAGAGGCAGAACCAGATTGGACTCAGACAATCGCCCTGGAAGATACACCTTCTTATCCTTATGTGGTTCTCCGCAGCCATCATCCGCTCGCCCAGATGACAAAGGATCGTACTCCACTGCCCCATACACTGCTCGAGGAAGTCTCTAACTGTACAGTCTATCTTGTACAGCTCGAGGACTCTCTTTAGCCATGTATGGGGCACCGAGTCGAATGCCTTTCTGTAGTCTATCCAGGCGGCGGAGAAGTTCCGACGGTTGCGTTTCACCACTTTGCCAATGACCGCGTCAATGAGAAGTGGTTCCTTGGTTCCACGACCACCGCCCCGACATCCATTTTGAGCGCGCGACATCACCTGATTTGAGTCCAGGTGACAAGTGATTCTCGCGCTCAAAATGGATGTTAGTATCTTGTATATGGTCGGTAGACACGTGATGGGGCGGTATTTGCTCGGGTCTGTGGTACCCTGGTCTTTAGGAACCAAATGAGTGATCCCAGTAGTGAAGAGGCTTGGGAGCGACTTCTGGTTGAGAGCCTCTTGAAACTGTCGGGCGAGCACAGAGTGACACACCATGAACCCCTTCAGCCAGTAGTGATGCAGCCCGTCAAGCCCCGGACTTTTCCAGTTCGGGGCCCTACGGACCGCCTCAGCTACGTCATCCGGCGTTATGATGACGGGGTCCATGGGCGTAATACCCGCACACTGACTCGCCACAACTTCCGTCCAAGGGCCCTCGCTGTGGTTTACGGGCTCTGACCACAGGCCGCGCCAGAATGCTACAGTGTCGGCCTGATTCGGTGCTGGACCCGTTCCACTTACCATTGGTCGCTCCAATGATTCATAGAGCCTCTTCTGATCACTCTGGAAGAGACGATTCTGGTTGAACCGTGTCGACCTCTCGGTATATCGCCGAATCCGCTTTCCCCAAGCAGCGATTCTCTGCTTCAGATCATCTATGCGCTCCGTCAGTTTTTGCGTTATATCCGGCTGGGACAAACTGACATTTGTCCCAGCAAACGCCATCCTGACGGTGCGCACAATTCTTGGCCTGTTGTTGCCTGATCTGAAGCATATCAGTCTGCCGATGAGAGCTCTAGCCTTTGCGATACGTTCCTCAATTCTTCTTCTCCATGCTGGGATAGCGCTACTATGGCCAGTAGCGCGTCCAGCCGTGGAAACATTGGCACCTATGATACGGCAGGTTGCCAGCGCGGCACCAAATATATATATATATATATATATATATATATATATATATATATATATATATATATATATATACATATATAAATATATATAATAATTATTATTATTATTATTATTATTGGATATTAGGTTTTCCAAACTCTGAGCTGATCAGACTGATTGTATTATTTACCATGGCACTCGCACCTGCACACTATCAATACTTTAAATTTATAATTATGTATTCTGTAATTTAGCCATAAATTTACTCAAATCTATAGTATTTGATATATCATTTTCAGCCATGGAATGAGGCTCACAATATAAGCATAACAAAATTTAGATAAATTAATTGTATACATAATATTATGTTTCTAAATCTTAAGTTTATTATATAAGTTATTGATACTCTACAAAAAATAAATTATTACATTTTTTGTTAAGATATACTGAAAAAAAGAAGTCAATGTAAAGTAATGTAATCATTATAATTAACATTCCAACATACAAATTTTCCTCAAAAAGTATGTAATATTAAATATTTAAGAAAAGGCCGTTATATATATATATATATATATATATATATATATATATATATATATATATATATATATATATATATGCGCATTTAATTTTCCTTTTCATCATATCCAGTATAATTGTATCAATTCCAGTAAATTACAGTTAAATTATTTTTTATTTATTTAACAGTTTAATAATTATGCAGACCGCGACAGTGCACTTGCATTGTCTCAGCGCATTGTCTGGCAGGGTCACCATGTAATGTTGATAAAGATGTTAATGAGAGGAAACATGTTGGTTTGTCTATTACTTTAAATAGACTACTAGACTAATAGACTCAGACTCTAAACTTAACACTATATTGTCGTAGGAGCTACACTTCAATCCACTGAGAAACACCCATTTCTCCTAACCTCCAGTGATATATTTATTTTGGTTTGGTCTTATTTAGATATTGATTTATGAATTTCATTTCACATTATTATTCTGAATGTTCGGTACATCGATTATACACAAAAATGGAAGGAAATACTTCTCACAAAGAAAATCTTGGTTAGTCTGACTTATGATGCCATTTTTAACAGTTTCAATTTATTGAACATAAGATATTATAATTTTTTTATAAAGCAAAAAATTTAATTACTCTGTATATATTTAATGTGTTTCTATAATTGTGATTATAATTCTATGTTTTTAATAAATTTCTTATAACCTATATGTGGTAGAGCCTCGCTGCTTAATGCGGGTGAGTTGTGTATGGTGTTTAGGTTTTACTGGAAATGAGGCATTCTATCGTAGTCTTCAGGGGTGACAACGCATCTGCATTTTAATTTTTAATTGAATTTAAATGTAGATATCTATAGGTAGAGCATCAAATTACCATCAGTTTGATTGTGTGCTCATTTGTCACAAGCGCCTGTGTAAAATCATGGCTACGACTGTTACAATAACATAAAGTAGCAAAGGAATAATTATAGTAGTGAAGCATGTTGCTGAAAGAAAATTAACTAATGTTTCAGATCCAGTTACTCCAATGCAAGAACCTGTGATATCAACTAATCCTGTAGTTATAATCTATTTTCTGGATGTTAGCGCTGTTAGTCTATACGACTCTTACATCTTCATCTGACTCAGGCTAATTAAAAAAGGGAAAGGCAATGAGGTGAGGATGATGATGAGTGGTTTATGATTTGGTATTGTTACCAATCATCATGTCGCCTTTTTAGGCGTTTCTTGAGCCATCTAACCGCAGTCCGAGGGGGGGAGTGCGGACCCCCGTCTCTGACTGCTCAGCTCGTGTCGGTCGATGGTCTGGGCGGTGAGAATCGCCCAGGAACGCGGGTGTACGGTTTGTACGCGGTGTGAGCGGGAACGCGTCGTGCCCGTCTGCGGATGCGACGCGCCCCATTCGTTATCCTAGTAGTGTTTGTTCCATTTAGTGTGGGTGTAGTGTCATTGTGTGATGTGCTTGCGACGTTTGGGTCGACTGGATCGAGCGGTTGTAGGAGATAGGTCGCGACGTTTGTTATCGGAATGTAGTTAGCTGCGTCTGTCACTAGCGGGTGGCTTTTTACTCTGTCAAGTTGGGACATCTCCTTAAAGTATTCGGAGATAGATGCTAATTCACAATCATTGTGCAAATCAGAGTTCCGTTGGTACCACCGTGCACCGGTGGCTTTTCGGATGAAAAAGTTTTGTACTCTTTGGAGTTTTACAATGTGGGTCTTGTAAATGCAGTGATATTATACATGATGTTTGGGATTTATAGGACAGATGTAGGGTGCGCTTTGAGAGATGCCCTATTATTGTGTGATAAATAGTTGTTGTATGGTTCCACCACATATTTTTATTTAGCAAACACTGCAACGAGCTTTAAGTCGCATGTATGAAGTTATATTATTTGCACTAGGACCATATGGATTCAACAGGAAAGGTCCTATTATAGTGAACATGTCAGGTTTCACAGAGGGTATCGAATCGAAGGACAGTTGGTTGATGTGCACATGTTATGACGCTTGTGTGGTACCTTGGGTGGGCCAGGCATCAGCCGACAATATAGCCAGTGCCAACATCACTCCTTGATGTTGTAGATATAAGAGAGGATGATGAATAAAAAGTAATTTTGTCTAGCCTACTTGTTTCATTAAAGTACTCCTAAATTATAAATTCTACCATTACACTTCATTTATTCCCGTAACCTACCATTACTCGATTTTTCAATACATATGCAACTTTAAAAGACTGAAAGACAGTAGGTATCTAGCGACTAACTCTCTTCAGCTAGAATTAAAATGGTCAAACTACAAAAAAGCCTTGAAATATTTTAGGAAAGACTTCGTGTGATAATAATTACGCCATCCTTGTTTTTTACACTACATACTGTGCAAGCTAGTGCAATACATGTAGGTGTAGTTTTTATTGAATTAATGGTCATAATTTGTTGTCGAAACGGTCAACTTCACGAGATGGTTTGACAGACGGCCCTTTTTGATTTGACATCGAACTTTAGGGAGTATGGTGCACATACGTAGGGTTCGCTTTGACAGATGTTCTATTATTGGGTAAATAATTATTTTAACTACACTATTAGGCTACGTCGCAGTCGGATAAAGCGTCCAAGCAAGGTTTTTCGTTAAAAATCAAAGTGTACAAAAAATTGCCTTAAGAAATAACAAGACTTCGTTTCGACAAGTGACAAAAACATAATTTATGAATCACGCTTTCTATAATATAGAAGAATATATGAAATGTTCATTTTCTGACTTGCTTGACATGTAAAAATAATGTAAATGTATTTTGAGTTGTAATTTTAATAATCTAATGTAATATTATATCATTTGTATTGATCATAGATTACCATAGATAAATAAATATGTAGCAAGCTAATAGATTACTGTGATTGTAATTTTGACATACCAATGTTATATTTTAATAAAATGGCCAATAAAAAAAAGTAAAAGGTATTTGTTGATTCAGCCTTAAAAATATTGTTGACGTTATTATAAAAAATCGTGGCGATTTAGATATTATTTTTAAACGTGATTGTGTTTACAACATAAAAACAAACCAATCTAACTATAGTTTGTTTTGGGACATGAAAAAAAAAAGTCAAGTCCAGCTCCTATAGAAATTTGGCCATCCTCCTTTTGTTCTTATCTTTGTTTCAGGCTGTTCATTAATTTCTATATTTAAGTTGAATAAATGTACTGATATTTATTATTGTAATAACTATTATTGTATTTGTGTGCTGTTTTTTAATAAATCCTGTAAATATAATGTAAGTTTTATTTATTTTTATTTTAATTATTAATATCTGTGATAAGAATAAGTATATATACGTAGGCGCTATATATATATATATATATATATATATATATATATATATATATATACAATATGTAACAACAACCCTGTGGTTCCCGTTAAGTGTGTTATCAGAATCAGTAGCCAAGCGTATAGAAACATTTTCACAAAACGCATTTAATTTATTTTATTTTATTGAAAAAAAATTATTTTGCAAATTGTATATGGTTTTATTTCCTCTAAATCACACGAGTATCGGTAATGCGGGGACTTTGACAATCCTCTTACTCTTCGGCCAATGCAAATATAATAGAATTTGTAAATTAAATATTTTTTTCATTTAAAATTAATTTTTTTAAATGCGTTTTTTTGAAAAAAAAATTATTTAAAAAAATTAAAAGATACTGATTCTGATAACACAGTTAACGGGAACCACAGAGTTTTTGTTACATATATATATATATATATATATATATATATATATATATATATATATATATATATATATATATATACGGCGTATGTATATATAAACTTATGTTTATAGATATTACAATAAAGTTGCTAACTGGGGATGTAGAAGTAAGAAATACCAACATCCATAGTAGGATAGTTGAAAAAGTGGCTATCTGTATGCAGTAAATAACAGTTCAAAACCCTCCAGAACAGCGCTGGAGAAGCTACTGGGATAAAATGAACTTAGCAGTTGTTGACGGTTTGAAGTGTGCTGCTAAACTGCTCACTAGCTCTAAAATCTAAAATAATTTTATTTAGTAAATATAACCTCGAAAAAGTCGTCTATCCCACTATTATTTTTCGGTGCGTTCTTTAAAGTTTACCCCGTAGTTATAGTGTCGCCACCCTTTTTAACGGTTTTCTATGGACACTTTTTAATATACAGTCTGTACTCCTTACTTCTACACTCCATACTCTGTGGAATAAGACCGTGACTATGGCTGCGTTTGGCAGAAAAAAGCGCTAGGAAGCGCTTGTAAGCAAAATGGCAATCGTAAGCGGTAAGCGCTGTCAAATCGTAAGTAGCTTTTTTCCTCTAGGACACGAAGTTAGCTTTAACCGGGGAACCTAAACTAATTTAAATATATGTTTGTAAAGAATTCATATTAAAAACTTACCAATCATGAATTTTTAATAACATGTATAATATGTTTATTCACGTCATTACTTGAAACTAATATTGCACAAAACAACGAATAAAATCTACTTCAAAACAAACAAAGTAAATAAGGAAAATGGCGGATTGTGTCAGCGCTACTGAAGTTAGCAAACGTGTCCTGGCCGAAAACTGTTTAGTTTCACCATTTTGTTTACAAGCGCTTCCTAGCGCTTTTTTCTGCCAATCGCAGCTAATGTTCCTATGATGTTCATTATGAACTTGGTTGTTTGATATACTTTACTTCTAGCAACGTCTATAGAAAAAATAAAAAGAAACTTGTCATTGAATGAACGAAGTTCACGGCTGGTAATCATTCAGCAAAAATCTATGACCATATGATATGCTGTGAGCAATTCATTATAGGCGTGTGTAACTCTTTACGGAACTGACTCACTGATTCGAATCACTGAAGTGTTTCAAAAGATTGGTTCAGTAACAATGTTTCAAATGCATCATTTGAATCTGTAACATTACTTTGCTCATTTAGTGCGTCGCGTCTCGCTTGCGAGGCGACTGAGCCACAAGCGAGAGAGTGGCGAGTGAGCGCGCGAATTACAAAATAACAATCTATACAAGTCAGAAAGAGATAACAAATGAGAAGTGTATAACTCAATCTCAACTCGTACAAATTTTAGCTATAGTTATTCATGCACGTAAAAATGACCACTAAGGTGCTTACGTATCAAATACTATACGGTCGTCTTTTGCACATAATGTTTACATTAACAAGTTGTCCTTTTACGTTGATCCGGCACTAACTTGTCAAATTGTTTATGTTCGTTTGCGCCTGTTTACGAAAACATAACTGAGTTCTGTTTAGGATTTCTTTGCGTAGTGATTATTGTGACTTACTTTCTTCCTTTTCATCATAAATAATACGCCAGCTTGCCATAAATTAAGGACTAGCCGCCAGTCCTAAGTCTGGATAAAATATAAAGGAGGATCGATTTTATATACAAACTTATTACGGTACACAATAAATAACAATAACTAAATATATGATAAAAATAACCTAAGCACTTATATCATTCTATATATATATATATATATATATATATATATATATATATATATATATATATATGTATATGTATATATATATATAAGAATATTAATGATTGATGAATATATTGTTCGATTTTATCTCGTTTCGCGTTTTTTTAATAAAATTAAATTTAGTGACATATGGGGACTTTTTTGTTAATAAAATAATAACTAGGGACTTTATGACGGCAGTCTAGAGACCTACGGTAATTCAATGTGGCACCACTGTCCTTCCCTCAGTTGCCATTTTGTCATGTTACTGTCGCTTAGCTGTCAGTTCTACATGTATGTCTTATTGTTGTTTGGAGGTTTTGTTGGATATTTCGTTGTTTCCGTGAACTAACAAAATAAACTTTTACTTAGATTAGTGCTATTTTACGATAGGACGTTATAATTTATAAGCTAATTTACGGAAAGACGTTTATTGTGTACTAGGTTATATACGACAGGACGTTTCTTTAGCATAAGTGTATTTTAATTTTTAGTTTTAAAATGTATTTTAAGTGTTGCATTCCCATTAGTGCAAGTAAAAGAGAAGAGACTAAGTTACATAAGTTTCTGTCTGACGAAGACCAACGGAACAAGTGGCTGGACTTTATAAACTGTGACACTCTTAAAAGTATGCATTCCAGTAACCTTAACAAGATGCTGGTTTGTCACAAACATTTTGAAAAAAGGTTTCATACTGTAAAATCTGGCATTAAGAAGACAGCTTATCCCACACTTTTTTCTTTTGAGGAAATTGAGTCAGTTTTCTCATCAAGATCATGCAATAACAAAGGTGTGTACATTTAGTTATTCCTTAATAAACATAACTACAATATATAAAATTAAATGTAAGCAAGGATGCACTTAAATTAGTAAGTAACTGTGTTTGATAGCATATGCTAAAGTATATCTTGAAATATATAGTTAATACTACCTAAATGTACTAGTAAATAGATGAAAATCATACTTGACTTCGCTCTGCACATACCTTCGTACTACATACCTTTGAGCTATCAAGTGAAGGTTATTCACCTGTTTATTGAAGTAAAATTTACTAGTTTATAGATTCTATTAACAATAGCCATTAACTTAATAGATACAGATTAATAGCTTCAGAAAGGAGGATCTCGACTCAGTTTGGTCATATATTTTTTTGTGTTAAGTAAATCGATTTTGATGATTCTCTTTTATTTAAAATCTGGTGCTTCTCATGTGGTCCTATATAAATTTGATCAAGATCTGACCAGTAGTTTTAATTAATAATGCATATTTATTTGACTTCAAATACATTAATGATGTTCTCATTTTATTTATATTGAAGTTGGTTATACAACTTTTTTAATTTTACCACTTGTTATGTACCTATATGACAAGTTTTGTTTCTTACAGGGAATGTACTTGTTGATCACACATATATATGTAAGAGACACTATGACCACACATACTGTAAAATAAAACATTCACCTTTGCTAAAGCCTCAAAACCCCTTAATTGGTAACTATTCAATTAATTTTAAAACTATCTTTTCTCTTTGAAGTAATCAATTAGACTAGTTATTTCTCATAATATAAAAAATTGATAGGTGGCAATTATCATAATTTTGTATCAGTTGTAATAAACTGATATAAAATTATGAGATTTTCATCAATATATCTTCAATTATAAGTTTACTTTTAGTAAGTTGAGCCATTTTGATATGATAGTTGAAAAATGTAATGTAGGTTAATTAAGCAAAAAAATAATGAAATAATTTTAAAAATCTTCCTACTATATTTAATATTTATTTTAATGTTTTCAGATTTGACTAATATACCATCAACATCCTTTGCTCCATCATCACATTTGGACAATCTAGAAAATGTACCTGGTAATTTTTCATAGTGTTCATAAGAAGATTTGTTTTGATGACCACTTAAATTTGTACTCAAATGTGTTAAGAAGTTGTATAAATCTGTCATCAAAAAGTTTTTTCTATTTCTTCTTTATAGTTTTGTTAGAAATCGGCAACATTTCATGTATGAAAGTGACACTAAAATTTATTGGTTGTATTATGATTTTTTTTAATTTGTTAGAAAATTCTAATCAAATTATACAGGTTGTTAGTGTAAACACCGTTATCCTTGAAAGCAGTGGTTTGGTTTCGCTTATAGATCGTAAATTCTATGAAAAATAACAACATTTTTTTTAGTATAATCTCAATTTTTCCTTAATTCCTCAATTTTTGCCTGTCCTAAGCCAGGATGAAAGTATGAAGAAAAAGTTACATCACAGGTTATGTGTACCTATTGTGTTTTTATTGGAATGTTGTGTTGGTAACTAGCGCGGGCGGTGATCTTTACAGTGATCACGTCACTCGGGCGCATAGGGTATCCATGAATTTACGTCGGTGTTGGACAGAAACTTTTTAAATTTTATGAAAGAAAATAAGCGTTTTTGTTTTTAAATTCATTGAATTTACGTTCTATCAGTGAAACCAAACCACTGGTTTCAAGGATAACGGTGTTTACACTAACACCCTGTATATTATGTTCTTATTATCATTTGAAATTTCATGCATAAAATATGGGTTAACATTTTAATAAATAAACCATTATTCTTATATATTAATATTTGGAATTATTCTGTTCCATTCTTAGTTTTTTGTTTAAAGCATAATCTATGAGTTTTATTAAGCAAAATTATTATTTTAATAATGATGTGTTTTCTTGTTTAGGTGAGTTGACTTTAACAACACCTAAAAAGTGGTCAAGAAGGGGCTTGTACAAAAATTTTCTAAACTTTCTCCTCAATGCAAGCTACTATACAATGAATTTAAAAAGTCGAGAAGGCAGTTAAATTATAATGTGCAGGAGAGTGCTAGCTTTTTCAAAAGACCAAAGTTTTGAAAAAATGACTGGAAAAATGAATCCACTTGCAAAGAAGTTTTTCTACATGCAAATAAAGATGTCCACAAAAAGCAGAAAAGGCAGAAGGTTTTCATTAGAAGAAAAGTTGATTGCTTTATCTATTATGAAGCAAAGTCCCAAAGCCTATAGGTTTCTTCAGAAAATTTTTATCCTACCTTCTAACACAACCTTAAAGAAAATGATTGCAAGATTAGATGTAACAGCAGGAATAAACACCTAAATATTTACAGTCATTAAGGAGGAGGTATGTGTTATTGTAATTATTATGTAAACCTTTTTGTTATGTTTTATCAAGAAATATGATAAAACTAAAATCTTAAATATATAATTGCTTATATTTACGGGAATACTACACATTGAAAAAAAAAAACTACTTTTACATATTTTATCACTTTCTATTTTCACTGATTTTAATTCCTGGCATTTTGAGTGATCCTTTTGATAACAACTTAATATTAATAATAAAAACCTGTGGTTGGCAACCCGTCTGCTACATGTGACATATTTAGCATTAGATTTATAATAGGCATGGCAGGAACATGAATGAATGATGTTAATAATAAATTCTTGTTATAGTAATTTATTAAAATTTTAGGTTAATAGCTGGGATGAAAGTAAAAACCTGTGTACTATAATGTTTGATGAAATGGCTCTTGAACCTTCCCTTACATATTAATCAAAAAATGATAGTGTGCATGGTTTTGTAGAGCTTGATGTGAAATCAAATAATTTGGCTGATCATGCACTAGTGTTGCTAGTGAAGGGTGCGGACTGCAGGTGGCAACAGCCTATTGTTTTTATTTTACTGCAGCAGCAGCGTCCTCCCCTCAACTACAAGTAATATTGCAAAATGTGCTGACAGCAGTTTTAGAAACAGGCTTACTTCCCATTGCCCTTGTATGTGATCAAGGGTTATCTTTTCAATCTGCTTGGAAAAGCATGCGGGATAAAACAAAAGGGGATCAAATACGCGCAGGTTTAGAAACAGGTAAACATTACAATAATTTCTTTCACTATAAAATGTTTCAACAACAATAGGAAATTACTTGATATATATAATAGCTCGATGCTATTGTCCAATGATATCAAAATTGTTTAAAGGATCAAAAAATAAGCTGTGAGTTGATATAGCTCAGCACATATTTTTACTAAATACACTCAGGGATACAAAAGACACTTGATTTAAGGGCAGATAAGTTTATGATATCAAAACAGTTATAACTTTCAATAAATAAGTAAATAACAAATTCTATTATTTTAAATATTAATTATTTATTATATTGTCAGCATTATTTTATGCATAATCAATCACACACCTGAAATCTTAATAGTGACAAAATCGAGGTCAAGTCTGAATGTGAATGATAAACAATCCTTTATGTTTTTATTTCAGATGATACAGTTAAAATAAAAGGTGCATCACTTAATGTGATATTTGATCCACCACACCTTAATAAAGGTATAAGGAATAATTTCCTATCAAAACATATAACAACTGATGGCAAGGTATCAAAATGGCAAGATATTGTTGATGTATACCTAACGGACTGCAAGCATAGTCAATCTTGGTTGTTACACAAATTGAATGATGAGCATGTGATTCCCAACAAAGTAAAAAAATGAAGGTAATAATCAATAATTATGTAAAATTGCTAAAAAAGAGCCGTGGTAGCTCAGATGGTTAGCGCTCGCTATAAATTTCACAATACGCGAGCAAACCGAGTTCGATCCCCGTCGGCACCAATGAAATTGTTAACTGCAATTTTCAGTGCTGATTTACCACGTGCTCGGCGGTGAAGGAAAACATCGTGAGGAAACCTGCATGTCTAAGGAATAAGATAAAAAATATTTCGAAGACATGTGAAGTTCGCCAACACGCATTGGGGCAGGGCGGCGGACTATTCCTTGCCCTAAAACCCTCTCAGAAATGAGAGGAGGCCTGTGCCCAGTAGTGGGACGTATATAGGCTGTAACTTTACTTTAACTTTTATGTAAAATTTATCATAAAACAATCACCATTCTCAAACCTTAAGTAAGAATATGTTTTTATTTTAATTAGGAATATTTTTATATTTTTGAGCAAATCTGGTTTGATCTCCGTCTACACTACTGAAATAAATGAATGAATGTTAATAGGTTGTATTACATTTAACTTATTTTTATATTTTTTACTTTACAGGTGAAGAATTGTGTCCGGGTTTTTAGTAAAACCATGGCAGCAGCTTTTATTTTAAATATTGTTTTAATATACGATAAAGTTTTACAACTACTTCTATCCTCCCAACCTTTGGTTTCAAAACATTGCTAAAGCATATTATTTAATTATCTTGGATATGAATGATAATAATGCCCAAAATTATCGAAAATTTCTGTATAATTGAGTTTCTTAGATTTATGTGAAATACGGCTCGACAAAGGGAAGGACCACAACTCTCACAGAATACCAGCATAAAATAGCAGCCTAATGCTGCTGTGTTTCGTATGGTAAGAGTAGAGAACCGGAGACTGTTTTTGCTGTAAACAACGCATTCCATCTTAGTCCTCACGGGTGACAATGATTCGTATTTGAGGATAGATGTAGATGTCTATGGGCCACAGCAACCACTTACCATCAGGTGGACTGTGTGCTCGTTTGTCACCCTATCCTATAAAAAAGTAACTGTCTAATTACTATGGCCTCTAGCTGAAGAAAAAACGAATAAAACTTGTCTTGACATTGTCTATAGGATTGTCACTGTCCTGGAAATAAGAGAGCTTCCATTGAAATATTATTAGTACCCATATTAAAAATTATACTTTTATTTTACGATTTATTTAAATATTCTTTTTTTTAGCTCACTACACTGATGGCAGACCAGTTAGCAATACTTTAAAAAACACTTCGAAGACTGTATCATCTGGATGATTTATTCGATAGTGTAAATGGCTCTTCTCTTGATCACAAGAAATGTGGTGGAAAACCTTTAAGGAAGGCTGTTACTGACAACTCATTGCATCACAACTTTTGGAAGGATGCAAAGAAAAAATTTGAAAAAATTAAATTTATTGACAAGGGCAATGAAAAGTCCGTGCCTACACTAAAAAATTGGCTGACAACAATTAAAAGTTACGAAAGGGTGTGGCAAGTGTTACACAAAAAAAAATTTAAAAATCATGCGACCTCGGTATTTTAATTCAGATCCCATTGAAAACTTTTTTGGGCGAGAGAGGTCGCATAATTTTCGTAATAATGATCCAACTTGCCACATTTTCATCAGTACTTACAAATCTTTACTGATAACAGCCCTCGTTAAATTTCATTCCGAAACCTATAATTGAGAAGATGATACTTGCTATCAGTTGATAAATGTGCAGTCTTTATTTAGAAAGCGATCTGAAGAGATAAACTGTAATACACCCAATATCAATCAGGATATTGGATGTATTGAAGAGAATCTTTCTACTGAAAATATTCAAGTGCAGGCAGCAAGGGAGCGATTAAGTGTTCACTCAACAGCATATACCACTGGATGGGTTATAAAAAAACACTTAGCAAAATAAATTGCCAAGAATGTGAGGCCAGTTTATGTACTAAAGTAGATGGTAATGTACATAAATGGATCTCACAAAGAGAATATAAAACAATTAAGCAAAGAAAGCTGACCTATCCCTCGGAATATGCTGTGAGGCATTTTAATTCAATAATAAAAGAAACAAATAGATACTATAATATTGTGCACACAAAGAAAATGTAAGCCAAGAAATCAAAAAATATATAAAAACCAAGTATCTATTTGAATTCATTAATTGTAAAAGCCATAAAGACATTATACTTGAATATTTTCTAATGCTTTCTATTAAACTAAGCATTTTCAACTGGTGCAACATAATTAATAGGATTCTGAAGGGCACGGACATAATTAGAATTGAAAAGCGTACATTGCCACCAATGCAATAAAAAAGCGTTGAACAAGTACAAAAAAAAAAATTAAAAAATAAATCATATTACAAATAATACACACTGCATTTTATTTCTTCTAATTCTCCTTCTTCATAATAAAATAATAATAAAAAATTAGTATAATGATTTCTTATATTTACGCGAACATTCATCATCATCATCATCACAGCCCTTCACAAGTCCATTGCTGAACATAGGCCTCCCCCAAGTAATGCCACAAAGCACGGTCCTGAGCCACCTGCATCCATCGACTTCCTGCATATCTTACCAGGTCGTCACTCCATCTAGTGGGGGGGGGGGGGTCGCCCTACACTACGCCTACCGGTACGAGGCTGCCACTCTAGAACCTTTCTTCCCCATCGGTTATCGGTTGTTCGAGCTATATGGCCGGCCCATTGCCACTTCAGCTTACTAATCCGTTGGGCTATGTCGGTCACTCCGGTTTTACTGCGGATATCCTCATTTCTGAGTCTATCACGCAGAGAAACTCCGAGCATAGCCCTCTCCATAGCTCGCTGAGCGACCTTGAGCGTCCTCATACGGCCAGCAGTGAAGGACCACGTCTCTGATCCGTAAGTCATCACTGGCAACACGCACTGGTTGTACACTTTAGTTTTCAGAGATTGAGGTATACCTGACGAGAAGATGTGTCGTAATTTCCCGAACGCTGCCCAGCCGAGTTGAATCCGTCGATTGACCTCTCGGTCGAAGTTGGACTTACCTAGTCGGACTATTTGTCCCAGGTAAACGTACTCGTCAACAACTTCGAGCATAGTGCTCCCAACAACTACGGGCATAGGTGTGACATGGACATTAAATATGATCTTTGTTTTGTCCATGTTCATCTTAAGACCTATCCGTTGGGAGGCACTATTGAGGTCATTGAGCATAGTGCTTAAGTCCTCCAGCGATTCTGCCATAAGGACTATATCGTCGGCAAATCGAAGGTGAGTGATGTACTCGCCATTGATGTCAATACCGTATCCTTTCCAGTCCAGTAGCTTGAAAACGTCTTCCAAAGCAGCGGTGAAGAGTTTCGGGGATATAACGTCACCCTGTCTTACACCTCTCTGCAGTTGGATAGGTTTCGAGCTCTGGTTCTGTACTCGGATAGCCATCGTAGCCCTACTGTACAAACACTTCAGCACTTCGATATACCGACAGTCAACTTGGCACCGCTGAAGGGACTGCAGCACCGCCCAAATTTCGACGGAATCAAAGGCTTTCTCATAGTCCACATACGCCAGGCAAAGTGGCAAATTGTACTCTTCAGTCTTCTGTACAATCTGCCGTATGGTATGTATGTGGTCTATGGTACTGAAGCCTTTTCGGAAACCGGCTTGTTCGGGAGGCTGGAAGTCGTCGAGTCTGCGTGCGAGACGATTCGTAATGACTCTCGAAAACAGCACGTAGACGCGGCTCAGAAGGGAAATCGGTCTGTAGTTCTTAAAGAGAGCGTTGTCGCCTTTCTTAAAGAACAAGACCACCGCACTTCTGCTCCACGCCTCTGGAGTAGTGCCACCATGGAGGACGGAATTGAAGAGCTTCTGAAGGACTTCAAGTACCGGTGTTCCATCCGCTTTCAGAAGCTCCTACGCGAACACTACACATGATTAAAAAAAATTAGTAATTAAATGGCAAGAGTACTAAATTATAGCGGTAAGTTATCTTTAAATATTTATCTACTTTTCGAGGCTTGTTGGCAATTTTAAATAAAAATTTTGTAATTGAATTAGACTCGGTCCTAGAAATGACCACCGTAATGTCGCAAGTTTTTACTTTTTAAGTGACTTAATTACTTTCTGTGTCAATATATTCTGTGTAATATATTGTGAAACTAATATTTAAGCTTTTAATATTTAAGCACAAAGTATACTTTGATGTAAAAAGTGAGAAATTGCTTCAAAAGTATGTAACGGTCGTTAAGTGGCTGATATCCTCCAACTTCACAGACTAGGTTTGATATTTGTTTTGGTAACGATGGAGAATATGGATAAGCCTTTGGCAGTGATGGGAAAAATGATTTATTAGAGTATTTAGAAAATCAAAATGCTAATTCTTAGATAACATTCAAACTAATTGAAGTAAAAATATATAATAGTTTTGAATTAAAGTATTTAAGTACAAAATTCAAAATACGTATTTAAAAAAAAAACATTTTTTTAAATACATTTCTAATTGATTTTAACAATACTATTTGTTGAGGTATCAGTGATTGTTTTGTTTGAAATATAGAAGATCCGAGTCATGATCACTGTGCAAACAGAAATATGGATCCACTTCTTCATCGTCCACATCACTGAAGTCTCGCTCCAACTCCGCCTCTATCCACTGACTTAAGGTCTTTTCATTTGTCGAAGTATTTAGAGCTACTCGCTTTCGTTTTCGACTGTTTCCTGAAGGTCCAGGTTGATCCATATAAAATAAAAAATAAAAATACGTGTGGCACTCGGTGACTGCCGCGGTAAAGCTATTGCATAGCATTTTTTATCAACTTATGCAATTATAATTATTTATTTATTTTATTTATGCAGTTAAGTCTTTGATATTAAATCAAGTTACACTTTTTGAGCGTGGTGACCGATAAGAAAACAATTTTTTTTCTCCTATTGAATAAATGAGAAGTTAATATTGTTTAAAATATTTTTAATATCTTACAATACATGTAGGTTATTCAGGAATTTTTATCATTGAGTTAGCAGCTAGTGTACACGTATACGTCTAGTCGCACGCACACAAACACCGTGCCGAAGTCTGCCGAGTGCCGAAGTCTGCCGAACTGAAACGACGTTAGACGATGCACGGCTTTCAACGCCACACCTCCGTGCCCGTCGGAGTGGGGAGCGTGAGGTTTTTTTTCGTTACGGAATTTCTGGATTCGGTCCCCGCGCTCAAGGCCCGCGATAGAAGCTATGCAATAGCTTAATAACGTACACAGTGAGGTGAAGAATAAGAGACACTTAGAAAAAATACACTAATACTGTAGTGACGTCTAATAAATCATTTACGCAAATACTGACCTCACGTCTTAGGGACACCAAACGGTCGTACAGGTACAGGTGTTGCTGCCACGAGCGCGAGCACTCGACTGACCGATCACGCCTCCGAAACCCGAAGGTAGCGAGAGGGGCGGGAGCATCTTTAAGAAATTAACGCCACGAGACTGATTTTCGCATCGAGGCCGTCTGTGAGACACCCACGTCACTACTTAAAGGTTAACAAAAAATGTTCTTGTGTTTACTTGGCTTATTTTCTTTTCCTTTTGCATGTTGGTACTGTTGTTGATACAGTCAGAGAAGTGTCTGGCATGGTCCATACACGAGGTAGCATTCGTTCACGCATTAGTGCACGCACACGCGGTGGTGTTCGCACACGTGGTGGCGTACGCACATGTGGTGGCATACGCACACGTGGTGGCACTGCAGGTGCGGCGCTTGATGTGGACGCGGCACTTGTTACGAATATAGCGTGTGGTGTGAGCACAATGCGAGGTGGACCAGCGGTACGAGGCGGGCGCGCAGCACGAGGTGAACATAGCGCGCTTGTTACTGGAGTTGGAAGGGGCATGTCAAGACCTTCCGTCTCAGAACCGTAATCATCGCCTTTTTACTTACGTTCTAAGATCTTCTATACTGATCAATTTTTGTATATACTAATTACAGGAAATTATTACTATTTTAGCCTATTTAGCGCGATGATAGAAGATGTACAGCAAGGGTATGGGTCGGAGCGTCCTTTACACACTAAAAGAAAGCGCTCTTTGCCCCCAACATCAGTGTATGTATTTTTATTGTTGTTTCTTAATTAAACTATAGATAATGATTTTAGAATGGACTAAATGTATATAAATTTTTAGCTTCAACATAAATTCATCGTTGTTGGAGTTAAGTTATCAACATCCACATTCTGTTGAGGTGAATGATGTTGGGCCATCGTCGCCACATATGTAAGCACTTATTATTATTTTTATATTAGATTTCTAATCTTTGTTCCTTTTTCTTATCCAAATTTATAATTCAGACAGGGTTCTGATACGGTGCGTGCTACATCAATGGCACCATCTCCTGCGCCGTTTGAAATGGTCTCGCCAGCACCCTCTCTGGTGGTCCCAGTGGTTGAGTCATCGACGCCTGCTACATCAGAGTACTTGGACGTCCCTTCACCGGCAATTTAAGTGTAATAAATTTTAATTTTGTCGATATTTATCTGTGGTATTATGGTATTCATGTTTTTTTAGGTATGTAGAATGTGGTGGAAGTGGGACATCCATGCCTCGGACTGCAGGAAGGAGCTTCCACGGATATGCAACATTCACGCCAAGGGCCCCAGTAGTGAGCAGAGGTTTCAAACGTTCTTTGTAAGTATATTTAGTAAAATATTTAATTAACGCAAATATATTGTTGTTCTGTACTGTTTTTATTAATATTAATAATTTTGTTATAGGATTTATAGGCGACTTTTACGGGATCATGAAATTTCGGAGTATATTCAGTATGGTTCGTTAATTTATGTCATTTCATCTGCCCAAATATCTTTCCAATTTAACATTCTATCATTCATTTCCTTTTATTTTTTAATAGGCAGTAAAGAAGAAGAAAGCGATGGAGAGGATGGCCAGGAAGAGGGCTCTCCTACTATGCTTATCCCAAAATAATTAAGAATGTTTATCGAGGACAATGAAGAAGTGGGAAATGCATCGCCGGAGCTCAATTTTGCATGGCCTCCTTCAGCCTCTACTTTGGGATCTGCAGCACCCATCCCATTAAGACCATCACATGTGAAACAGTCCACTGGCTCAACAACTGCCCCTACAATAATCACACCGCTTGAGGAGCAACCAGCAGGCCCAGCACCGGCCCTTGTAATACAACCACATAAGGAGCTGCTTGTGCCCTGCAACAAATATGATTTCCAGTAGAGAGCATTCCCGCAGCCTCAAATTGAACCATAACAGAGGAGAGAAATGTTCTGTTTAGTTAATTGTGGACCCACTGGCCAATATACCAGTCCATATGAAGCATTTGTTGCAATATGGAACCGGGAGATTATGGAGAAAATCGTTGTGGAGACGAACCGCTACGCTCAACAGTTAGCGGCGATCGTGATGCAAACAGGGACTTTGCACCCCAATAGCCGCATCACAAAATGGCACGATACCACTGTCGATGAATTGTACGTGTTTTTCGCTATAGTACAAGCGACCGGAATTATGGTGAAAACACGTATAGAGAAGTATTGGAATTATAATAAAGATATTTTCTGTACTCCAGAATTCACCACAGCGATGCGTTTTGATTGCTTTATACTGTTGAGAAGGTGTTCATTTTACAAACAACGACGCATGCAATCCTGCATTAATGACCCGTGCGCAGGCAAAACTTTTTAAAATACAGCCCATTCTAGGAGATTTAAATTTTAAATTCTCCAAACTAAGATACTAAGGGCCCCAGTGGGGAACGCACTTTGAAATGTTGAGCAAAAATTTTCGCAATATGTACTGACTCGCTATTCCCATCCACACTCACCGGGAGGCCAGGCCTAAAATCACATTTCTCGGTAGCCTTCCAAAATTGTTTAAATTTTTTGTCCACCCTATGTTGTGCTAGGATGTCCATTTTTAATTGTTCCTGGTTTCGTTGACACCATTTTAGCCGACTTTTGAACATTTTGCGGGACTCGTTCATTTGATCATAGATCCTTCCAGATGATGGCCTATTATACGACAACCATATCCTGAAGTTAAACCTGGCCATCTGATGCGCCTCTTGAACATGTTTGTTCCATTCACAGAGATAAAAAGTTTTATTATAATATATATGAATACATGGTAATATATGTTGATAGTAATACATGGATTAAGGTGGTTCCTCCCAAGCTGTTTCTAAACTAAATTTTGTAAATATTTTGTGACCATTAACAGTCTAAAACTTATTAAAAAAAAGTTCAGCTGGATTTCTTGCTGGGTCTTCCCTGGACGGAGGTTTTTTTCGAACTAGTGGTAAGGTAAAAAAATTACTTTCAATAAGAATTACAAGTTATCTATATTGAATAAATAATATTCTATTCTATTATTTTATAACCATGACCCGAGTATAAACATCTGGGTTCATCACACAAATGGATACCCAGGCCACAAATTGATATACCTGGGACATATGGCGTATGAGGCAGGACCATCAACTACTACGCTACTCGGCCGTAAGAGCAACGGAAATAATTTAATTATGTTTACTCTTACTCTGTTTATTGTTTTATTATAAATACAAAGTAGAAACTAAAAAAAAATATTTTAAAACAAATCAATCTTAGTCTCATCCATATTAGTCTTGACACATTTTGGATGTTTTTGTACTACTTTTGTATTGTATAAGCAAGGTTTTTAAAATTTCAAATTAAAGCTAGTTGAATATATATCTCGGAAAATATAACAGTTTGTTCAAACAAACAACTTAATCATGTAACCACTAATTTGTAAGTAAAAAAGGACCCTTTTTATGTAACTCTTATTCTAGTTTCATTGAGCATACCCATGGACCACTTGTGATTTTGCTTACCTGATAAGCTCAAGTTACAGTAAACATCTACTTCAATACTCAAAGCGCTTATTTACATAAATATACGTTAAAATATGGAGGTCACTTTTGTATAGTCTCAGAGTAGTTGGTTTAGAATGAAAGTTTTAAACATTGTCTGAAAAAAATTGTATGAGGAGGATTGCTTTTTTTTATTTATTTATTTATTTATTTATTTAATCGGAAATCCCTCGGTTAACAAAAAAACAGAGTAGGTAGAAAACAATTAAACAGTAGGAAACCATTTATGGGTTTTCGCAAATAGTGGCACTATATAAATAATTGCATGCGATGAGTTATCGACAGCTAATAGGACACTGTCGCACCAACTGTAAGCTTAGCTAAGTAACATCGTGCATTAAATAACTAAACATTACAGATTAACAAAAGCAAAAAATATAAAAAATAAAATAAAATAAAAAGAAATGAGAAAGATCATCAGCTGGAATTGAAAAAAGGCTTACTCAGAACTCGTCTCGCCGAAATGATACTTGTGTTGAATAGGTCTAAGTTAAACAATTGAGATACAATATTAAAATTCATTAATATTAAAATTAATAAATTTTTTGTTATAAATTTGTTAAAATACGTACTGTTGATGTAATTAAATGATTATTATTATCATCAAACATTTTTTTATATTTCATTTTTTACATAGAAATAAATATGAATATGAGTGCCCTAACTTAGATGTAGTATAACAAATTTATTATAATATTGCAGTTGATATGATTTAAAGAAATGGGAACAGAAACTACTTCTGAGTAATGGATAAAGAAAATAAAACCTTAATTTAAAAAAAGAACTGGAGATATCACAATTTTTATAAAATTAAAGCCAAAAATAACTCAAGTCTGTGATGTGGCTGATTTAAACCACACAGACATAGCATTTTTCATTTTGAGTTTCTCACAGTTGAGAGGATAACGATATACAAGCTAATGAAAACTCAATACTCCACATAGGTATCGCAGACAACGAAGAACGAGATACAGAAACTTTAGATTTAAATGCTGAAAACCACACAACAAATGAAAATGAAAATTTACACAGAGAAAAGATAATTGCCATAGATGAAATGTTTGCTAAAGCTTTAGAAAATTTGGTAATACAAACCCAATAGAAAGACGATTTATACCAAAGCAAAGGTCATCAAAAAATGGAGTAAAATAGTCGTCTATGTAAATAATATTTTATTGCCACAATACTTCAACAGCGAAATTGAATTTAAAACATTTCAGAATTTAGTGTACTGTGCAGAATGGACTTCAGCTAAGCTCAACGAAGCTAAAATTGAAATAGCTGTACAAGTTAATAATCCGTTAGGACTTGAGAAACAAAAGAAATATAATAAGCCAAAGTGGGAAAAAGATTAGAAAACAAAGTAAGTTAATTAAGAGAAAAAACTGCAAGGCTAACACAATATATTAATGGAAACCGAGGTCAAAAATTAATCAAACACGTAAATGCTATACTTGAACAACATAAAATTCATTCTGTTCACGAAGAACATAACACCAAATACGAAAATTTTTAGACACACTTAAAAAAAACTTAAACTTACTAGTAGTCGGTTAAAAAAAAGAGTATGCTCTCTATGAAAAACTCAAAACATTCTATTTTGTTCAAATGAAAAACTTTTCTACCGTAATATAAAAACCCTATTAAAATAAAATCAGCAGTTTGAAAGGCTCCGAAAATAATATCTTACCATCACTGAGAGAATTACAAAGTTACTCTTCTACAATATGAGAGGAACCTAAAGATTATAATACAGAAGCGGTTTGGATCAAAAATCAAATAGACACATTACAGATTAAAGCCATGCAATTTCAACACATCAAGATAGACACTTTCCATAAAATAATAAAAAAACTGCCTAATTGGAAAACACCTGGATCAGATAATATACATAACTATTGGTATAAAAAGTTTACAACTATCCACCTGATTCTGTTTAATTTTGTTAATAAATTCATACAAAGCCCGCATATCTCGCCGCAAAACATTAATTCAGGAATAACGTATATGATTTACCACCAAAAGACCCTAGAAAAATAATCTTGACAATCCTGCAAAATATAGACCTGTCACATGTTTACAAACATTGTACAAAATAATTACATCTTGCTTAACCGAAACCATTTATGAACACATAGAAGCTAATAACATATTGTCGGAAGAACAAAAAGGTTGTAGGAAATTTAGTCAGGGTTGCAAAGAACAGCTCACAATAGATACAGTAGTATTAAAGCAGGTACAATCAAAAAGAAAAGATTTATTTAGCATGTAAATTGATTATAAGAAAGCTTATGACTCAATACCGCACACTTGGTTATTAAAAATTTTAGAAATATACAAAATACACCCAAACATAATACAATTTGTACTGGCTGCGATGACCAATTGGACAACGAAACTCAAAATTAACTCACTAGATGGAATGATAGAAACAGATATTATTGCAATAAGGAGAGGTATTTTTCAAGGTGATGCACTTAGCACCTCTTTGGTTCTGCCTTGCAATAAACCCCTTATTACAAATGTTAAACTCAAAAAACATAGGGTACTCTTTACAACACATAATCGTCTACATACTAACAAAGAAGAAAAAAAATTGGTATTGATAAGTGCCACATTAATTCAGTAAGAGCTGGACAGTACATAATTATCAGTTACAAACAGGACAGCAAATCAAATCTTTAGAGGAAACTGGAGTGTATAAGTATTTAGGATATAATCAGTCTAAACAAATACATCACAAATAAATTAAATATACATTAACAAATCAGTTCCGATATAGACTTTGCTTAGTATTAACATCTCAATTAAATTCTAAAAATATATTTAAAGCTGTCTGTCTTAACACATTTGCAATTCCCATACTAACTTATCCCTTTAGCATAATACACTGCACCACCACTGTACCAAAACTGAAGTAAAAAAGCTACAACGCGAAATAAATACATCTCTTACGAGGCACCGTAAACACCATCCACATACGATTTAGCCATAAGAAAACTACTAGTATGCCCTCCGCCTGATGTAAAACGATTTTACTCAACGTGGTTGCACTCGATTGCGATTTACTTGCCGCCGGCTGTCTCTAGCTCGCAACCTGAACCCCAACCCAAGAATAGCGTCAGAAAATAATTCAATACTGTATTTGTCATCGTAAAATTTTAGCACCATAGCAATCGTCTTGCAAATAATTGAGTATGTTCGTAAATTTAAAAAATTTGTTAAAATCATCATATCGAATTCACAACATATTTCGAATGTCTTTATATTTAACTAAGCAGCCGCAGTGGCGTAGCTACCTTGGGTGGCACCCGGTGCGGAAGTTGAACCAACCACTTTGAAAAGATTGATCACTGGTGATAAAAAGAGATCATCTACGATAAGAATGTGCTAAAAAGATCATGATCAAATGTTCGTAAAGCTGCATAGACTGTAGTAAAACCCGGATTAACTCATAACAAGTGATGCTGTGTGTATGGATTGGAATGGTATCATTTATAATAAACTTTAAAAAAACAAGCGATTTAAATCTCTGCTGCCAAAAACTAATGAGACTCAAACAAGAAATTGAGAAAAAACGGGCAGGATTGATCAACAAAAAAAGGAGCGGTGTTAATGCATCCACCATATAGTCCTGACGTTACAACCTCAGATATTTACCTGTTGCAGTCTCTTCAGAATTCTTTCATATATATATATATATATATATATATATATATATATATATATATATATATATATACTATATATATATATATAATACCTGTATTAAGTCAAAGTCAGTCAGTCAAAGTCAAAACTACTTGTCGCTTTTGTTTAATCAAAAGTCCCAAGATCTCTACAGCAACGGGATTATGTTACACCTACAAGACGGCAACAAGTTATTGAACAAAATCGCATATGAATATTATAATTAAATGTTATCTGATAAATCGCATCTAGCTAGCGTAAAAATTAAACTTTAATGTAATTAAACTTTAAAAAAAATCTTTAAAGAAACTTTTTTACCGACCTATTGTTTTAATATTTTATTAATTGCAATTATAACTCAGATATTTAAATAATAGAATAACGAGTCATTATATAGATTTTTGATGTGCACAAGAAATGTGTAACAAGAAACTCAACTCTAAAACAATTTGTTGTCCAGAATATGACCAATTATTAATTATTTACTTTTATTAAACTTAGATTGCCTTTCTTCAAAATTAACGACTCATTTATTGCATTTCGAAAATTCTAAATGATACACAAAATCCGCTCTATCGCGCGGTTTAATACTAATCCATCAATCACCGGATGTGTTTGATAACGCTACTGGATTACAATCCAGGCGTAGACTAATTACGGAGAATTTTTTTCTTTTTTTTGAAAGAGAGAGAGAGAGAGAGTACTGTTTCATTATTTAAAATAATCTAATTATTTGTCAAACTTCATTTTAGCAACAAAATAAAATAATAAATAGCAAATATAAAATAATATCCAGCCAGAATAGTAATATCTATTAAATAAAAACTGTGTTATAGAAAAATATAATACAAAATTAATATAATATAAAAGTGAAATATTTAGAAAAATCATTGTTTGATTACAAACCTGTTTAAAATTACTATCAAATTGGCAGCAAAAGGAGCTATTTTAGATGACCTCCACTTCCTTTCAGGATTTCTATAAGTAGTGTTAAGAGGTATGTCATCTATAAATAATCCAAGGGCAGTGTATATCATATCCATCATTGTAGCGTGAGTGAAATACACAGTAAGCTTCTTTCCTTTTCCACGTTTTACTCTCTTAAAACTTTCGAGCAAGTCTGCCAGGGGAATACGTCCAAACACTTCGTTGATTGGAGTACCATAACTATTTCTATAAAATTGATGCAAATCACCTGCGTACTCTATAACTTGTAAATCTTCTTTATTAAAAATCGCGCACCAAGGACTAAATTTGTTATTTAAACCTGAAGAGGTATAGCGGCATAAATCAGATAAAGCTGTTATATTTTCGTGTGTCAACGTAAAATCAATGCCTATTCGCTGTTGTATTCTGTTTTTTACGTAGAATATATTATGGGATAATTAGGTTATATATACGCTGCGTGTTTGAAGAAAATAAAAATATTAATAATTAATTTATAATCAAAATATTAATTTAAATTAACTGATCATTTAAGACAAGCCAAATTTTCGAAAAGGACATATGTATGTGTAATTAAAAATAAACATGCAAAACTTACTGTAAGATATTCTAATGTATTTTGATACTTATTTGCTTCTGCGTATGTACTTGAATTATTTTTCACTTTCTGTATGTAGAAACTACAAGCTTCATAAGGCTAAAATTTAATGGATAAAAGATAAATACGTTACTGAATTGAAAAAAGGTTTTCTGGGTTTTTATATCTACAGCTATTATGTCGTAGGCAGCGTTTGATTTTTCAATTTTCATTGACGTATTTCCGAAACCTTCCATAAATCCTTTAACTCCGTTTTCTATCCAATCTCCATGTGCTGAATGTAGCTTGTAATGTTTTTCATCCAAGGAAGTAAGTAAATCTTTAAATGCTTTCCTAATTCTGTATCCTATACCAAACATTTCTTGATAGCCTTCTTCAGCAATTTGGTGGATATTTTTAAACATATTTGGATCTGCTTCCCAATTATATAAATTTTCTACATCTTAAGCACACATAAAGCCTTTACCATTTTCATGGTTTAATTTGATAGCGTATTTCATTGTAGTTGCATGTAACATGTTCTGTGCAAATAAAAATCCTGGATTTCTTTTTCCATGCCTTACTAATCCCCAGACACTAATTTCTTTACATCCTACCGATATAATAAACATGTTATATAAATGTTTTTAATTAATTAGCTATTTAAATTTTCTTGAAGAATTACGAAAATAAACACAGCAGATAATCGAAATTACTTACCATTTTTTTAAACAATTGAATCCAAAATAAACACAGCAGATAATCGAAATTACTTACCATTTTTTTAACAATTGAATCCCTGATATCTCCCCCTGACAAATTCGTATGGTGTTCTGCTTGAAAGATATTTATAATGACAATTTTCGCTCCAGTAACAATTTGATATCGACAACTTTATAACAGCTAGGACTATGGAAAATATTGCTATTATTTTCATTATTACTAAACGGATGCTATTATTTGTAAAATATATATAATCCGAACACAAGTTATAGCTTTTATGAGCTCAACAAGCAACTTAATTAAAACGTTTGTCGCTTCGTGTATATGAACCGTATATAACCATTACCGGTTTAAGCACGGAATTTGAATCTATAACAGTAATTATATCTTTTTTTTTTTGTTGGTTAACAATATGAATAT